CATGTCTCGATAGCATAACTCGATAACATAATTGATAGCACTCGATAGCATTTGCATGATATATTTGCCTCCACAAATAATATACAAATTGCAATTAGGTTGTCAAACTCATGATAAAGCCAACCCGGTAGCATAACCTACCTCAGCTATTTTATTGCAATAGAAAACAGTCAGGATCGCTAAGCTGACATATGACACACGTAATAGAAAACACAGAAGGACTAGGCTAGTGTGTCATAACCTAAACCAGATATTTCTTTACAATGAAAATTAATCAGAAACACTAAGCCGATATACGAAAATTTATATAAATGATTAAAAAAATATTGATATCGAATTTGACTTTCTAAAGAGTATAAAAGCCATTACCCATCAAAGCGACCAAGTGTGTCGACGTGAATATAAAATTATCGTCATATTTTTTATAGATCGTGTGGTATCTAAGTGTGACGATGTAAACACAAATACGTCGTCATATTTTTTATAGATCATGGGTACCTAAGTGTGACGACGAACTTGTGAACTAATCGTCACTCAATGACGACGCAAGCATGAATCATTCATTACTCGAATAATGGAGCAAATACTAATATATCTCTAACGACGGTGATGCATTTCTGTCGTCACAACACTGATGACGGTGATGCATTTCTGTCGTCATACCTGAGTGAGAATAACCTAGACTAAGTGGAAATAATATAATTATGTTATTTTCACTCACAGTTCTTTATTTTATAATACTTAAACTTTGAATAATGGTTATTCAACACTTATCTAACTAAATACAATCAAATTTTTTCATTTTAATTCTTTAAATTTTTAGAATTAAAATAAAAAAATTTTGATCGAATTTAGTTAGGTAAGTGTTGAGTAATCATTGTTCATTATAAAATAAAAAGCTGCGGCCAAATTTCTTTTTAAACTACTAATGAATATTTCTCAACAACAAACTATTCAAATTCAATAAATTTTTTTTTACTTTAATTATATGAACTCACATTATTAAAAAAAAGAAACTTCTTTAAGTTTTGATAGTTGGGTGTCAAGAAATATTCACTTAAATTTTAAAAAAGAAATATTCACTTGATTTTCAAATCCTTTTAGCCTTTTATCTGAAATTTCTTAATGACCACTAAACAGAATTTAATAAATTTTTTTTACTTTAATTTTACAAAAGTGTAAAATAAACTAAAAAAGTAATTTTCACTAAGTTTGATCAATGGGTTGAGAAGCATTCTCTAGAAGTTTTAAAAAAACTTTGTTTAGAATATCCTGTGATTACTAATAATTATTGATTATAGGCTTTAGCTATTCTCATATTGCACTACCTTTTGTATTACATGCATATGCTTTATCGTTATAATGAATGTTTTATAAATTAATTTAAAATTGCTTTTTTAGGGGTTAAACTTTGTATGCGTATAGTATACATACTATAAAAAAAAAACTTCAGAATAAACTATCTTTAATAAGCTTTCATTAATTGAGAATGATTTTTAAATAATTATATATAGAATATGAGTAATTTATTCTCAACTACATATATATTCATGTTATTTTATATTGGATCAATCAAACAATATACACTTAGACATTAAATACATTTATGAAGAGTTGATTAATTAAGTATTAAATAATAATATAGTTATAATTGACTTAATAATTAATATTATTTACAATGCGGTTTTGATTAACTTCAAATATTGTATAATAATGATTTACCTCTTACATAATAATTATATCATCATTAAATTTATAATGTTTAGAGAAAACAGATCGTCTTTATGCTTTTTTTTCAATCACTTCAATAAATGTGAAATAGCTTAATATACATATATATTACTTACTATTTGATCTTTTTCTTCATAATAGACAAATGTAGTTCTTGTAATAATCACTATTCACCTGAAGCTTTTATGCTTAATGGAAAAAAATATAAGACATGTGCAACTTGTTTAATTAAAAAAGCTGAGAAAAGAGCTAGAAAAAAAGCCTTGCCTGATAATAATAATGTTAATATACCCGAAGTTATTTCATTAGAAGATTTAAGTGAATATTTTGCAGAGTTGACAGACAATCTTGAGAATAATATGGGGTTATACTTTACAGTACAAGTTGATATTGCTGATATGTCTATTTTAGTTAATTAGAATTTTAATATTAAGTTGATTGCTAATACAATCATTAATTATATTGAAGAAAGTAATGATTACTTTTGGGTGTAAGTATTAAAAAGATTAAGAAAGTTTTTTTTTTTAAAAAAAATAATAGTTAATATTTTGAAATTTTATAAGAATTAAAACAGTACCACATATCTCAACTTGCCATGAAAATGTTGGCACCTTCTATTTTAGCTACTCTCAGTGTAATGAATTGGCACGTGATTATAAAGAATCAAATCAGCAAAGTATGGTTCATTTTAATTACCATGGAATGCTAATTATACATGTTGATGTTCTTGTAACTAAAGTTATAATAAATCTTAAACATGATGTTCTCCATGAAAGACTAGTTGATGTTACAACACTTATAGAAATAAAACAAGAAATTAAAGTAAATCTTCATATGGATCCCATACAAATTTGAATATATCTTCAAGATAAGTTTGATATTTTAAAGATTACAGCACATCAAATTTGTTATTGGTGGTTATTCTTTACTCAGAATTTTTATAAGTCTGAAAAAGATCATGTTAATTTGGTATATACTTTTCTTAAATTAAAACAGGCTGCAGGTTGTAAACTTTGTTTTGAGTTAATGACTAGTCAAATAGTTGCTATTGGTTTTATAATATCTTTATATAATAAAATTTAACTAAAATCTGAAATTCACTATGATGCAACCTATAAAACCATGAAAGGATAGTTTGAGTTACCGTATCCTATCATGAATAAGCACTACACCCTCTACCCCACTTTTTTAAATATCAGATTAGCGGTAATAATTTGGCTAAAGATTTCATTGTGATTTTTGCTAATCTGACATTTAAAAATTGGGGTAGAGGGTGTAGTGCTTATTCACGATAGGATATAGTATATAGAATTATTTGTAATTTTGAAGGTTCCAGATATCCATTAGCTTACCTCATATTAGATACTACAAAAGCTTCTGAAAATGTATCACAAGAAGAACAAAGAACACATGCTCTCTTTAGATTTTTTATTTTATTTTGTAATAAGAGATTATATCCAAAATATTTTTATATAAATAAAAACTTTTCTGAGATTAATGCAGCAAAATGAACTTGGCCTACTACAGACATACAACTTTGTCAGTGGCATATAGAAAAGGCAATTAATCTAAAGCTCAAATGTTATAAAAAGATTCAACATATTCACTATTGCCCTGAAAATGCAGCCATGAAATTTAATTTTATAGATTTAGAGTTTAAACCAAATCTAGAAAAATTAAATAATAAAATTTGCCCTCAAAATCTGTGACAAAAAGTTATTAACTTAATTAAAATGCATTTTAATATACACTCTAAGATTCTATCTAATACAAGTAGGCAATTTTTAACTTCTACTAAAATTCAAACAATTGCTGTACATGAGATGTATAGTTTTTGCTTTAATAATAATCTTGTATTATTATGGTCTTATCTTTGGTGTTCATAGTACAAATTTGAACGATGGTGTCTCTGGGTACATTCTACTCATGCAACAATTCCTCTTGGAAAGACAAACATGCTAATTGAGGCACATTGAAAAGAACTTAAGCATTGCTATCTTTATCATTATAATCGACCAAGATTAGATTATCTTATATGGGTTATTTGTTCTCGTGTTCTGCCAAATCAAGTTCTTCGCCTTCAGCAGATGCAACTCGGTTGAATAATTCCATCATAGTTTGATAATTTTAAAAGAAAATGGAAACAACTCACAATAAAACCAGTTACAGATACTAAAAAACATTATACAACTGATCTAGCACATTGGGTGTGTAGTTGCAAATCATTTTTAAATAGCAGATTTTTTATCTGCAAACATCTAGTTTATTGTGCAATTGAAAAAAAAATTAAATAATCCTGAAGGTGTTCATCTAATATATTTCAACTTTAAACGACATACAGACTATCCATTTTTAATTTGGGATTGTAATAATCCACAAGACTATATTAATACTGAGTTGCAAATATCTACAAATATAGTTATAGATAATAATTCTTTTACTATTAATAAAGATAATGAAAACTTTGATCCTGAACTTTACCAAAATTGTAAGTCTAAAATAGTTGCATTAGAATGTTTAGTAAATCATTTTAATGATGAACTATCAGCAAACAATTTAAAACATGTAAAGAATGTGGTTGACAATATGAAGCGTACATTTACTATCATTGAGAACATAGAAACATCACAACAAAAAAGATGGTACAACAAAACTTGGAATAAACCAAAGCCGTGGACAATATTTTTGCAGTAAATATTAATTTTTTAAAAATTAATATAGAATTTCTAGATAGTATTAAGATTTGAGAAATAATGTTGTAAGCTAAAACAGAACTATAGTAATACTAAGTATATTAAAATAAAATTTCAGCTATTTGCTTTTTGAAGTAACTATGCTTTATTAAAGTTCTCTTGGCTTAATCATTTAGATTATAATTAACATATAACTTAAGTTTTGAAAAAGACTATGTATTAAATTAATTCTAAATTTCTATCTTAAGTAATCTAACTATTTTCAACAATTATTAATGAAAAACATGTGACTAAAATTTCATAAATTAACAAGATAGCTGATGAATTTAAATTATTTCTTTATAAAATTAAATATACTTTTTGCTATATACTTGGTTTAGAAAATATGAGAAAACACAAATTCCACCTTTCCTGTTCTATTCCTAACAGTACTATGTCTAACCACAATCTCTACAATATCCATAGTCTATGGAATATACAACTCCAACATCATATTAGTAACTTTCTTAACCGTATTAACAATACTTCAACTCTTGGCCTAACTACACGTATTAGACTTCAACAACTTCAAAATAATCTTTGGTCTACTACCAATATTCTCCAACATCCTAATTCTCTAATAGATGGTTCCAACAGATATACTACTACTTTTAAAATCATACAACTCTTTAACTCTCTTAGTATATCCATTCATTCTAGCCCTAACATATTTTGGCCACAAACCACATCTGGTAGTAGCTCTTCGCTTGAAAATATTCTTTTTCATCACTTCAAATACTGTACTTTCAAATAGCAACTTCGCCACAAAAATATTCTTTTTTTTGAACAACTATGCTCTGCTAACAATAGTACACTACTTGATTGGTCTCATCTCTTTCCCAGATTACTTCATATTTCCAAAGGGAAAAAGCCTGCCTGGTTTCTTTATTTAAAAAATACTATCTTGTTACATTCCTCTTTTCGTTCTATTATTTCTTTTTTTCAACCTTCTGGATTTAACTTATTTGCTCATCAAACTAATTCTATTAACAAATCTCATAAGCCCTGGGTCCTTGCCTGCCATAATAACAATATTATTATTGGTCAAGTTTGCAAAGTCTTCCGCCAATCCAATTTAATTTCTATTACTCACTGGCAACATGATATTAACTCCTCCCTTTCTACTTGTTATCCTCTTCCTTCTATCATCTGTAAGCCTTGCCAAGGCTGTAGTTTAAACTCTTTTCATATTTCTAATTATTGTATACTTGAAGTTTCTTCAATTCTTTCTACTCAATTCTTTGGTAAAAAATCTAATAATTAACTTAAACTTAATGCCAACTATTAATCTCATTCATTCTACTACTTTTAAAAACCCACTCGAGATTCTATCTTTACTTTCTTTTAATATTGTAGACTCTCTTACTTTATTTCTTTTTTACAACAATATTACTTCCAATAACCTACTTCAAATTGCTTTAGCTAATCAACCCTATCAAGAGTTTATTTTTTATACAGATGGCTCTGTCAAGAATCTTGGTACCGAGGAATGTACTATGGATATTAGATGGGCCCAAGTCCACAATAACTCTGTTATCCACAATTTCTCTGCTCAAATCTCCAACTGGCCCTCGTCTTATAAAGCTAAGCTTCTTGCTATACTCTTTGCTATTTCTACTCTTCCATGCAATTCTTTTGTTAATATTTATACAGATTCCAATTTGTAATTTCCAAATATAATAAGCTCCTTCAAACTCCTCATTCTACATCTAAATACTTTAAATTCAATTCTTGGCCAATCTGGTATACTCTTATTAACTCAATCAAAGTATATAATATTGATCTAATTTTTTATAAAGTTCAAGCCCATAGTGATGACACTTTCAATAATCTAGCTGATTACCTTGCTAACAATCATACTTCTTCCCCAATTCTATTGTTTAACTATTTTAATTTTTATAACCCCTCTTTCTTTCCTTCAATGAAAAAATTTCTCAATTAATAGCCCTTCTAGATGCTTCATTAAAAATATCTGCAATGCTAATACTATTTCTATATGGTCCTTCCAAAGACGTACTGATGAATAGTCACACTTTTCGACTGGAATTCTACATAGCTCTACTTTAATAATAATCATAAACGTTCATACAATTTTACCAATTCTAAACTTAGTCATCTTAAATCCTTTAAAATTAAAATGCTACTTAATAGTCTACCTATACACTCTCATTTTCATTCTATTTTACCTAACCTATTTCCATCTTCTAACTATTTTCAATGCAATCTTTCTGATTCTTCTTTTCATTGGTATTTCTGTTCTCACTATAACCTCTTATTCCAAATTATTAATTCCTTTATTTCTGAAACTATTTTGAATGCCAACCTTGATATGGCTTCTCATAAATTTAAGTACTTGATACAGTATATACAATTTCATCACACTCTTCCTTTTTCCTCCACCCTTCTACTCTCTATCCATATTCTCTTCATTCTACTCTTAAAGGTCTCATTCCTTCTCCACTTATTCATTGCATAGTACCATTTGACATATTTTATTCAATAGCTTCGCAGCTAATTATCAAAATTCTTATTAAAATTTCTAACCAAATCTATGAACAAATATGGAAATCATACTGTATTAACTTTTCTACTTGGAAAAAAGCACACCAAATATCATCCAA